TAAACTCACAGGTTGGGCTTTATATATGTATGTAACTTGCCAGGTACTAAGCACATGCTATACATTTTGAATGTAAACTCGATTAGCTTAGACTAGAGAATCCAAGGCCATTTCCATCTTTCTTTTTTAGTGAGGCAGGGAAGGGCATATAGATAATGTAGATTTTCAAGAACCACAACTATAAAGTGAAAGGGCTTCATATTTTAGGAAAAAGTGGGCATTCTGAACATAGGATGGTAAGATTATAGGAAAAGGTTAGAGGGAAGAACTGTTTTATTTATTTATTTTTATCCTCACCCGAGGACATTTTTGTATGTATCTTCAGATAGAGCAGGAGGGAGAGAGGGGGGAAGAGAGAGACATATCAACTGGTTGCCACCCATACAACCCAACCGGGGCCACAGACAAACTGCAACTGAGGTACGTGCTCCTAGTGGGAACCGAACCCGGGCATCTCTGGTCCACAGGCCAACGCTCCAACCACTGAGCCAAACCAGCCAGGGCAAGAACTGTTTTCAATAAGCTAAAGGAAGTAACAATAACTACATTTGAAGAAAACAGAGATGACAGGAAAAGTGGTTTTATAAATGGTTTTGAAGCAGTCGAAGCAGATGTGATGACTGGCTAAACGAAAGGGCTCAACTTAAGATGTACAGAAGATATCTTTGGAAGCAGGGTTAACGACAATGTAAGGAAACACTGGTTTTAACAATGGAAAATGGAATATGTTGTTGACGTAGGTCTAAGGAGGTAATAGGCAGCTCTTGTGAAAGAAATATTAAGAAAGGAGAAAAAGAGTAATAGTTTAAAAGGTGCTCTCAGCTTCCTAGTCAACTTGGACAATGCTACAATCTTTTATCCTCCAAACAAGAAAGTCAGATAGGCTGGGAGAAAAAATGAGGAACAATTTTGTCTTCCTTATGTTTAATTCAACTAACAAAGGCCATAGGATGGTTGGTTTTACATATTCTAAACCACACAGGAATGGATGGATCATCAGGTAAAGATGTCTGCCAATAAAGATACTGTCTGTCGCCCTGGCCGGTTTGGTTCAGTGGTTAGAGCATCTGCCTGCAGTCCAGAGACCCGGGTTCAGTTCCCGCTAAGGGCACGTACCTGGGTTGCAGTTTGTCCCCAGCCCTAGTTGGTCATGCGGGTGGCAGCCACTTGATGTGTCCCTTTTACGTCAATGTTTCTCTCTTTCTCTCTCTTCCTCTCCCTTCCTCCCACTCTATCTGAACAAAATATGGAAAAATGTCCTCGGGTGAGGATAAAAAAAAAAAAAAAGATACTGTCTGTCATCAGTACATTGATGCCAGCTGAACCTGTAGTAGTGTCATATTACACTGTGCATCAGATAAGACTAAGATTTTGTTTTGTTTTTTTAAGCCAAGATCTTTCATCAACTTGCATCTCAGTACATTTATATCACTGACTTTATTTAGCATAGATCTTAACTATTTTACCACAAATAACACTGCTTTGTGTTGTTATAATATTCTCTATCAAACATAAATTGCTTGGTACATTATCTCATTAATTTAAGTCTTTGGAATTTCTAGACAATATATTTAATTCCATAACAATCATTTTTGTTACTGTTTTTATATTGTTATGACATTTGCCTCACAACAAAAAATTTTCTTTCAAATTTGGCAACTACTAAAATGTTGTAAATGTTTAAACATTTCCCAAGAGGCAAAATCCCAAGAATGTCCAATTGGGATTCTTTAAATTTATAAAATATTGCACTGATTTTTAATAAAGATTGAATAAATAAGTAACCTGAACTTTTAAATCTTAGAACATAGTTTCCTAACAACAAACTTAGCTGAGTTAAATTCCAAGATCCAGTATCTTTTGAAAAAAAAGTAACATTCTTACTCCAAGATTACTATATTAATAGAAATATTAAAAGAAACAACTGGCTGAGAGAGCACATTTCTAGTCACTAGATGGAATGCTGCCTAATTCATGAATCATTGAATAAAGCCTATTAAATCCTGAAAGAAAGAAAAAGAGAGAGAGAGAGAGAGAGAGAGAACGAACTTCTGGTCAAGATGGCAGCATAGGTAGACGCTGCGGTATCATCTTCTGCCACAACCACATCAAAATTACACTAAACTACAACCCAACCATCATTCATAACCACCTGAAATTGAGCTGAATGGGAGTCCTACAACTATAAAATTAATGAAGCAGCCACATAGAGACTGATAGGGGATGGGCAGGCAGGCTGGTCCCACACCCACATGTGGCAGATAAAAATCAGGAGGACACCTCGGCTGGGAAGATCCTCCCTGAAGAGTGAGGGTTTCCCGTTCCACACCAGGCGCCCAGCTCAGGGTTCCAGTGCCAGAAAGAGAAGTCCCCATAATTCTGGCTGGAAAACCAGCCAGAACTGAGGCTGAGAGAGGGTGCGGCTGCTGGAGCCCCAGGCAGTTCTCTTAAAGGGTCCATGCACAGGACTTACTCGGACTTGCTTCCTCTAAGCTTGGAGGGGAGACAGTTTGAGGGGCGCCAGAGTCACACAGGGAAGAACTGAGTTGTTTGGCTTCAGCACGAGGGCTGGAAAGGTGCTTTCTCCTGGACAAATGCACTGGTGGAGGCTGATATTCCTTTGCTGAGCACTTCCCTGGGGCAGCAGATGGCCACCATATCTGGGATTCCAGCAACCTGGCTCACACTGTTTGCCCCGCCCTGGTGATTCCGAGACCCTGCCCCACCCAGCTTTCGGGTCCACCCAAGCTTTTTGCAAAGGTTTTACCATAGGATTGGCCTTAGATCCTGCTTCAGAGTTTCCTAAAGTCTCTCAAACAAGCAGCATCTGGTCTCAGGGAGCCCCATACCTGTCGTTAAGTGGCCCCAGGCCTGGCACTAGAAGCAACTAACCTTGATTCACAACTGCCCTTTCCTGGGCACCTCTAAGCCCAGCACAAGAAGCAGCCATCTGCAGATCACTCTGTAGCTTATGCCGGGTGACCCTGGATAGAACACAGGCAGCGGCCAACCCTGCCCCAGGGCCAGCACACCCAGTGGACAGCTTCACACCACATTGAAAAACCACCACCCAACCACCTCCACAAGTGATACACTCAAGGAGTGGACTCAATGGGTGACAGAGCCCGGATAAATTAAGTCTTTCTCTGGGTGGTGGGCCCCTACACAACTGATCCTCCAAGGTAGTCAGAGGCCAGTGGTCAGTGGGCACAGCCAGTCCTTGCACCTGATCAGCCTGAGTAAATCCCTCCCACTGATGTGCCAACAACAATCAAGACTCAATTACAACAGAAGAGTGTACAGTCCACACTAGGAGTGCACCTTGAAGGCCCAGCTGGGGTGATCAAGGAGGCTGTGCCACCGGATCCTACAGGACACTTACAACAATAGGCCACCCTATGAAGTCTAGGAGACATAGCAACTCTACACAGAAACAAACATAGGAAAGCAGCCAAAATGAAGAGACAGAGAAACATGTCCCCCCAAAAAAGAATAGAACAAAACTCCAGCAAAAGAATTAAACAAAATGGAGATAAGCAATCAATCAGATGCAGAGTTCAAAACACAGGTTCCAAGGTTGCTCAAGGAACTTGGTTAGACATTCAAGGAACTTAAGGAAACCTCCAAGGAACTTAGTGAGAACATCAACAACATAAGAAAGGACCAGTAAGAAATGAAGGATGTATTAACTGAAATAAAGGATAATTACAGGGAATAAATAGTAGAGTTGGTAAAGTCAAGAAGCAAACCATCGATTTGGAATATACGGAAGCAAAAAACACCCAATCAGAACAGCAAAAAGAAAAAAGAATCCAAAAAAATGAAGATAGTGTAAGGAGCCTCTGGGACAACTTCAAGTGTGCCAACATTTGTATCATAGGGGTGCTGGAAAGAGAAGAGAGAGAACCAGAAATTGAAAACCTATTTGAAACAGTGACAGAGAACTTCGGTAACTTGGTGAAAGAAACAGACATACAAGTCCAGGAAGCACAGAGTCCCAAACAAGATGAACCCAAATAGGTCCACACCAAGACACATCATTATCAAAATGCCAAAGGTTAAATACAAAGAGAGAATCTTAAAAGCAGCAAGAGAAAAGCAATTCATTACCTACAACGCAGCTCCCATAAGACTGTCAGCTGATTTCTCAAAAGAAACTTTGCAGGCCAGAAAGGAGTGGCAAGAGATTTTCAAAGTGATGAAAAGCAAGGACGTACAACCAAGATTACTCTACCCTGCAAAGCTATCACTTAGAATCGATGGACATATTAAGAGTTTCCCAGACAAGAAAAAGCTAAAGGAGTTCATCACCACCAAACCAGTATTATATGAAATGTCGAAGGGTCTTCTTGAAGGAGAAGAACAAAAATATGAACAATAAAATGACAATTAATACATATCTATCAACAACTGAATCTACAAAGAAAATGAGCAATCTGACTCATAGATCCAGAGAACTTTTTGTTGCTTGCCAGATGGGTGAGGGCTGAGGGAATGGGTGAAAAAGATGAAAGAATTAAGAAGTACAAATTTGTTGTTAAACTGATGAACCTCAAAGGGAAGGGGGTAGGGAGGGTGGGATGAGATAAACCAAAGAACTTCTATGCATATATGCATAACCAATGGACACCTCCAATAGTGTGGGGAAGGAAGGAAGGCGCTGGAATTGAGGGGGGGGTCAATAGGACAACAATAATACAAACAATAAAGATGAGTTAAAAAAAAGAGAGAGAGAACGAACTGGCGTAGCAGGAAGCAAAGTTCAGGTTTTGTGATTAAAGCTAAAACAACAAACAAGTAGCATTTGTATATTTTAATTTTCAGATTTTAAGTGTAAAATTTGTAATAGCTATGCTTAAAATATAACCATTTCCCCACAATTAAAATGTATACAGTATTAACATTCGAAAGTAACTTAGACCTATTCTCTGCATACCTCAAAAAGCAGAAGGAAATTTTTAGAATATATGGACAAATGTATACGTAATGATTTGAATTACCTTTCTTCGTCTCGAACCCACACTGGAGTTTTAGGAATTTGTGCTTCAAACAATTTAGATGCTTTATAACAAAAATTGCTGCAAAAACACTGAAAAAAAACATTTTGAAACTAGTTAGGTTTTTTTCATTGTGAAACACAGCATACATACAGAAGAGTATAAAACATAAATATGTAGTTCAAAGAAAAAAATGAAAATTTATGAATCTACCACCCAAAGGTAGAGTACCTTTGAAGGCCTCTTTGTGCCCCTCCCTGATGATACTATGCTCCACATTCCCCAGTTAACCACTATTATAAATTTTGTTGCTCATTTCTTTGCTTTCCTTTACCATATATATTCTTATAAAATCTACCATTCAGTTTTGCCTACTTTTAAACTCTGTTTAAATGGAATTATATTGTTATATATTCTTGTCATTTCTTATTCCACATTGTTTTTTGAGATTCTTTCACAAAGTTGCAGCTTATTCATTTAAGCTGTGCAAATACTCTACCCTTTATTGTTTATGAACAATTGAGTTGTTTCTAATTTGTTTGCTATCACTGCAGTGTTACTATGAACTTTTTCTTTTTTGTTTTTGTTTTTGTTTTTTATCCTCACCCGAGGACATTTTTCCATTTTTTATTCAGATAGAGTGGGAAGGAGAGAGAGGAAGAGAGAGAAACATCGATGTGAAAGGGACACATCGAGTGGCCGCCACCCACACGACCCAACCAGGGCCAGGGACAAACTGCAGCCAAGGTACATGCCCCTAGCGGGAACTGAACCCGGGTCTCTGTGGACCGCAGGCTGACGCTCTAACCGCTGAGCCAAACTGGCCAGGGCTGCAGTGTTACTATGAACTTTTTCAAAACAATTTTTAAAATTGAAAAATGTGGTAAAATATGCAAAATTTACCATCTTAATCATTTTTTAGTATATAGTTCAGTGACATTAAATATCTCACTGTTGTGCAACCATCAACAGAACTCTTGCAAAACTAAAACTCTACACCCATTAAACAGTAACTCCCCATTTCTGCCTCCTCTGACAACTACCATTCTGCTTTCTGTCTCTATTAATTTGACTACTCTAGTTACCTCATATAAGTGGTATTAGGGATTTGTCTTTTTGTGCTGGCTTGTTTCTCTTAGCATGTCTTTAAATTTTATCCATGTAGCCCTGGCCAGTTTGGCTCAGCGGTTAGAGTGTCAGCCTGTGGACCAGAAAGACCCAGGTTTGGTTCCCACTAAGGGCACGTACCTCAGTTGCAGTTTGTCTCCGGCCCCGGTTGGGGTCGTGTGGGTGGCAGCCAGTCGATGTGTCTCTCTCACACTGATGTTTCTCTCTCTCTCTCTTCCTCCCTCTTTCCCTCCCGCTCTATCTGAAGATAAATGCAAAAATATCCTCAGGTGAGGATAAAAAAAAAAAATTTTATCCATGGTGTAGCATATGTTAGAATGTCCTTCCTTTTTAAGTTTTTAAGGGTGAATATCCCATTTTATGCATATACAATATTTTGTTTATCCATCTGGAAACATTCATATACATAAATACTTATGCACATGGGCAAGAATTTCCTTCAGCTATATACCAAAGAAAAGAAAGACTTGGTCATAAAGAACATGCGAATTTGACTTTATTAGATAATGCCAAAGAGTATACAGAGTTATTAATATTGTCAGATTTTTATATATATATTTATATATATATATATTTTTTAATCCTCACCCGAGGACATTTTTCCATTTTTTGTTCAGCTAGAGTGGGAGGGAGAGAGAGGAAGAGAGAGAGAGAGAAACATCGGCGTGAAAGGGACACATCGAGTGGCTGCCACCCGCCTGACAAACCAGGGCTGGGAACAAACCGCAACCGAGGCACATGCTCTTAGCGGGAACCGAACCCGGGTCTCTCTGGACCGTAGGCCGACGCTCTAACCGCTGAGCCAAACCGGCCAGGGTAGCAAAGAGTTTTTAAAACTCCTTGAATAAAATATCTATAAATGAAAAACTTTTAATGTGACTATTTTATAAAATGTAAGATTTTAAACAGTTGTTTTTAGAATTTTATTTAGCATAACAGTAAAAATTAACTGCTAAATTGAAAATAAACTTTAAACTTACCTTTCTTTCAGTAATATCATAGACTTTATTAGTTTTGGTAGAAATTTTATATTTCTGTTTTGGTACCTAAAAAAAAGAAAGTATGGTTTACAAAGAATTCAAGTAATAAACTTGAACTTATGTTACAAGTTATCTACATATCATGTCATTAGTTTATGACCTCAGTTTCACTTCTTGTTCTTTCTACAAAGTATTTTTGTTAAATATAAAAATTAAAAGTCTGTATTTTTAAAAATTACTTACAATTCCTAGCTTCTTGTGACATAAGGGATAACCACAGAGCTTGACAATGGAACGTTCATCCACGACATCACTGTAGTGAGCAGGTGTGATAAATTTCCCCTGTAATGAAATAAATGGAGCACCCCACCCTGGATTATTGGAAAAAGTTCATATCACTTCTCTAGGCCCCACAGATCTCATCTAAAAACACGGAGATAGGTTTGATATTATAATCAGAAGAGAAAATACAGAAAAAGAACTTAGAAAAGTGCTCAACATGTAGTAAGTACCAAAAAATGTTAGCATTAAAAAAGAACAAAAACAAAAAACTTTCTGCCACAGTAGACTATGCATCTTTGTAGACTATACAGTTCATAAAATAATTCTGCGGCAGGAGGAAGAAATGGTACTATAGTGATTGTTATACCAAAGCACAATATTTAAAGTACAGTTTATTTTTTTAAAGTGTTATTAAAAAAATAAACCACATAAAATAAGATATAATTTTACCTATTTTTAAAGCACAATCTTAAAAATCAAAGTATAACAAAGGTCACTGTGATTCCTGAACAAATTTTTGTGCAAAACCTTCCAGCTTTTTTTTGTTGTTGTTAATACTTATCTGAGGATATTTTTCCATTGATTTTTGGAGGGAGTGGAAGGGAAGGAAGGGGAGGTCAGAGGAGGAAGAGGGAGGGGGAGGGAGGGGGGAGAGAGAGAGAAACATCAATGTGAGAGAGACACAGCAACTAGTTGCCTCCTGCATGTGCCCCAACCTGGCTGGGGATTAAACCTGCAAGCCAGGCACATGCCCTTGGCTGGGAATCAAACCCACAATCCTCTGGTGCTCAGGCCAATGCTCTAACTACTGGCCAGGGCAAAATCTTCCAGCTTTTGAAAAAACTGTATAGGAGAATGGGGAAGAGATAATTATAAGCTAACATCGAATTTTTTCCACTGAGCCCTGGCCAGTTTTCCTCAGTGGTTATAGCATTGGCCCATGAACTGAGGGGTTGCGGGTTCAATTTCTGGATAAAGGCATGTACCTGGGTTGCAGGTTCGATCCCTGGTCAGTCAGGGTCATGTGAGAGGCAACCAATTGATATGTCTCTCTCACATGAATGTTTCTTTCTCTCTCTCTCCCTCGTTCCCTCCCTTCCACTCTATCTAAAAAGAAATGGAAAAATATCTTCCAGTGAGGATTAACAAAAATAATAATTTTTTTCCCATTGACATCTTCCTGTTCAAATAATCTCACTTCTGGAGATTATTTTTGAAGAAGTTTTTCTGGTTTTGCAGGGACTAAAAAACTTTTTATTGAGAGTGCTATAAGGTACTTGTTTCAAATGAAGCATTTCTGGTTTGTGTCTGTCTTTAGAGTTATCCATGGTACAGATTTTGATGCAGCTATCTATATTAACTTAAATATGATCATATTCATATTTCTCTTGTTTAGAAATCTCTAAGCCACACTAAGAATTACTTTTGCAATAGAAGCTCCGAGTTTCAATTTTCCATTTCTTTTTTCTAAGGATTATGAGCATATACTAGAAATTTCGATTCAAAATTTTAATGTAATAAAGTTGTTAAAGACAATAAAAATAAATGCAGATTATAATTTTCTTATTATCTGTTAAATCACAAAGGATCTATATTTGAGACTGTAACAATATCTAAATTAATGGAATTACATTAACAAAAATAATCTTCTGTTACTAAAATAGGGCAACATATAGAGTATGGAAAATAACATTGGGATCATTAGTACAAAGATGAAAATCAAGTGAGGTTCGCAGAATGATTAAAACAACTACTACTAAGGGATGAAATATGTATGTTATTTTTAACTAGTGCATTTAAAGTCATTAAATAAGTGATTCTTTTTAAATGCATAGATTATATAGCATGTTACCTGCATGTGGTGACTGAGAACAGATTCAAGAATTTCAATAATGCAAGTAAGTTTCATGTTGAACAGATTTAAAGATTTTCTAGCCTGGCCAGTGTAGCTCAGTGGTTGAGCATCGACCCATGCACTAAGAGGCTGCCAGTCTGATTCCCAGTCTGGGCACATGCCCAGGTCGGGGGCCAAATCCCCAGTCGGGAGCATGCTGGAGGTGGCCAATCAATGCTCTCTCTCATTGATGTTTCTATCTCTCTCTCCCCCTCTCCCTTCCTCTCTCTCCAAAAACAATAAAGAAAAAAACTAAAGATTTTCTACTACAAAAGTAATTATTTGTCAACACATACACACTCCCTTAAGAATTCTTCTGTGATATTCTCTTCTAAAAGCTGTTCAACAATATGTAGAGCTTTTCTCTCAAATTCTATCTTCTTCCTCACAGTCTCTTCTAGTTCTGCTTTCCTAAAATTAAAAAAGAATTAAGTTTTGTCATAGTCAATTTTCTGTTTTAAAATATAACACTAACAACTTATTATTTTGCTACTTGTATTTATATTTTTAATGCTGGTACTTCTGATCCAATAGTTTGCAAAAAGGAAACAAGCAACTTATTGTACTGTACATATAGAAAGTCAGCCACAATAACTAGATTATTTGATTTCCAGAACCCAGTGTACAAGAAAGAATTTAAGAGATTCTTATAGAAAAGAAAATGAAGTGAAACCTTTTTGCCAGTTAGAATTTATACTCTATTACTTTTGTGCCTGCCTAAACAGGGGGGCTTTTCCTTCAAAATCCTTGTAAGTAAGAAGGGTTTAGAGAGGAAAAAATATAATTTTGGCTCTTCTTATAAGTAAAAATTGTGACAAGTCTCAAAGGTTAACAGATGGCCCAGTTTGATAGGAGAGAGTCATATTTGCAAAGAAGTGTTTACTCACTTTTTGTTGTCTTATTAAATAACTATATTGATATGACTATGGTTTAGGAAAACAGCAATCTTCCTAGGAAGGCTGGTCCTTGTCCTGGCACATTATGTCAGCCTTTGCTTACCCCACACATTATGGAATATAAAAGCACAGCCTATCAGATCAAACAATGGTTCTCGATCCTAGCTGCAAGTTAGAACCATCTGATGAGGTTTTTCAAAAAGATACTATACTGCAGGCTCATTAAATCAGAATCTCTGAAGATGGGGCCTAGTTATTGGCATTTCCTTAAAAGTGCTCCAAATAATCTTAGTGTGCTTAGGTTGAAAATCATTGTCACAGGACCAAAGATACTATCTTGGTGATGCATGTGCTCCTTTCCTGCACTGGTTTCTACTTCCCTACTAGAACAATCTTTGTAGGTCTCTTGGACCTTGGCTTGGTTCTCATATCTGGTTCTAGAATGTACTCACCTTTTCTCCCTACCTTCAAAACTTTAGACTCTAATTCCTTACCTGGAGCAATATGTTTTACAAAACAATTTGGAGGGCTGACATAGGATTGCCAATAAGGTACAAATAAGGACATTAAAACAAAACTAAAATTATAACTAACACGTGTTCACCCATCATTTCATAAAGGCCATGCTCACAACAAAAAAGTATAAAAGACATGAACACAGCCCTGGTTGGTTTGGCTCAGTGGTTAGAGCATCGGTGCAAGGACTGAAGGGTCTTGGGTTCAATTCCAGTCCAGGGCACATACCTGGGTTGCAGGTTCCATCCCCAGCCTGGTTGAGCTCGTGTGGGAGGTAACCAATTGATGTTTCTTTCTCTCTCTCTCTCTCTCTCTCTCTCTCTCTCTCTCTGTCACTCTCTCATTCTCTCTCTCTTCCCCCTCTCCCTCCCTCTCTTCCACTCCCTCTAAAAAAAAATCAATGGAAAAATATCCTTGGGTGAGGATTAAAAAAAAAAAAAGACATGAACACAGATTAAAAGGCAGTTCTTCATACTCAGCTTTATAAAAAACTTTTATTTTTCGCATTTTGCTGCCTACCAATAAAAGCCATGTCATGTACTAAGATCAGTACACAATCTGCATTAGGAATTGCTGATTTAAGCGTTAACCATCTCAACTTGCAAGAACAGCCACACTTCTTTTAACTGATAGATATCAACAACTGCTTCCCATGGATGGCCAAGTCTCACAGCTTCCCTTGTCAAAAATAATGACAGGTAGTGTGGTATACAGCAGTGGTTCTCAAACTTTGGTTTCAGCATTCCTTTACACTCTTAAAATTAGAGCTTTTACTTACATAAATTCTATCTGCTGATACTTACCATATTAAGATAAAATGTGAGAAAATTTTAAAGCATTTATTAATAATATACCCATTACATGTTAACATATTTTTAAATTAGAAACTTAGTGTGAAGAGTAAAATTGTTTCATATTTTTGCAAAGTGCTTTACTTTCTGGCTTAACGGTAGTCACCTGGATTGAATATGGAAGTATTTTGCAACTGAAATAAATTTATAAAGGATCACTCCCTCAACCACTATTTGGTTACCCCCATGGATTTTTAATGTTTCATCATCTTCAATGATTTGCTCAAAATACATTTCAGCTTTTCTATATTCTGCAAATTGTGGTGCTCAAAATAAAATAGAATCTCCTTAGATTTGTGGTCAGATCAGTGTTGAAGAGAGTTGTAATATTTCTTAAAGCAAAGGCAATATAGCCCTGGCCGGTTTTGCTCAGCGGTTAGAGCGTCAGCCCAGAGAGACCCGGGTTCGGTTCCCACTAAGGGCACCTACCTCGGTTGCAGTTTATCCCCGGCCCCGATTGGGGTTGTGTGGGAGGCAGCCACTCGATGTGTATTTTTCTCTCTCTCTCTCCCTCTCACTCTATCTGAAAGAAAAAAAAAAAAGCAAAGGCAATATAATCATGCTGCTCCACAGGAAAATACTGGCATCTGTGTTTCACTTTATTGCACTTGACAGATGTTGCATCTTTTTTTTTACAAATTGAAGGCAAGACCCTCCACCAGCAGAAAGATTATGACTCGCTTTATTGCAGTGGTCTGGAACTGAACCTGCAATATCTCTGAGATATGCCTGTACTCCTAAAACAGATATCATATCCATCCAATTTCTCTATCCCTAACATCTTAAAACTTTTTAAACTTAAATTTCATCACTTTATTAAAGTTTTCCCATTTGCATGTAGAAAATTCAAATTTCTCACAACACCCTACCAGGTACTGTATGAATGGAATCCTTTCTAACCTTTTCCTATGCTCCTTTCTTCCCTTGCTCAGAATGCTGCACACTACCATGGGCATCTCTCCTTACTTTCAATGACCAAACCTTTTCTTGTCACACATACTGCCACCTGTGGCTGGAGGTCTTTCTCTCCTCATTATTCTGTCTGGTCAATGCCTACTTAGCCTTCAGGTCTCAGCTTCATTATTACTTTCTGAGACACTCTTTCCTGAAAACCTGCCACCCACCGTGCCAACCTCCAGAAATGGTTTCCTGGAGTCCCTGGCATATAAAGCAAAAAAAAAGGAGAGAGTATGCAAAAAGAGTACGTGGTTAATTCAGGAATGTTTATTCCCATAGACACCATTCTACAGATACTCTACCTTCATTAGAAATCTAAAAGTGTCTGATTTTGGTTTTCTTAAAGCATGGAGTAGGGGGATGTAACAGTCTATGTGAGAATGTATAGTGCTGCCCAGATCTTCCCTTTCTCACAATAATTTTTTTTTATTTATTTTTCTTTATTGATTTTTTAGAGAGAGAGGAAAGGGAGGGAGAGAGAGATAGAAACATCAATGAGAGAGAACATCGTTTGGCCACCGCCTGCATGCCCCCCCTGGGGATTTGGCCCACAACCTGGGCATGTGCCCTGACCAGGATTCGAACCGGCGACCTCTTTGTGCATGGGGCGACCTCTTTGTGCATGGGTCGATGCTTAACCACTGAGCCACACCGGCAGGCACAATAATTTTCTTTAAGGTAGCACCCATTATTGTTTTTTAAAATGGTTCAATTAATAGGAGATAAACAGCCAAGTGACTGAAATTGCCCAAATAGTTCTCTTACCTTTTAGAAGCATCTTCTTGTTGCAAGGTACTTGTCTGTTTAGTACCTAAAATTAAAAAACAAACAAAAAACAGGTCAATTCTACCCAAATACACTAGGTCAAAAGACAGATTCCTGCCCAAATAAACTAACTATCCCATCTTTTCTTTTCCACATATTCCATTACAAATCCCGTGCGTAAATCAAGTGAAATGGATTGGAATCAAATTTATTTTTGTAAATTAATTATTCCCGAATTGTTCCTGGTTAGCATGTGTCTCTTTCGGGGTTGAATTTTTCTCTTGTAACATAGTTATAGAATTAAGCAGTCCTTAAAATCTGAGATCGGGTACTTTTGGGGAAAACCTCTCTCCGTCCCCCACATATTGACTCCCAGGTAAGAGGGAGGGGGTTCTCGATACCTCGGGGACACGGGGCACCAAAGCAGCAGTACTGGAAGGAAGACCAGGGCTCGGTTCAAGGGCAGCCGCCCACGGCCTGCCGACGCTGCCCTGGTCACTTGCCCACTCTGGCGACCCCAGCTCTAGGCTCCCAGGACCTCCACTGCCCTTTCCCTCGGAGAGCCCATTCTGGGAACAATCCTGGAACGCTAGTGTATAAAGTGGGGGGTCCGGCCGGAGGTCTTTCCCGACGGCGGTGGGGCACTCTCGGCCTTCTCTGCCCCAAGTCCTCCTGCCCTGGGGCAGCCTTTCGGGAGCGTCCCGCGCGCCTTAGTCTGGAACTCTGTAGGGGCTCGGCCTCCGGGCCCAAATATAGGAAGGGGGCCTTTTGCCTACCTGAGGCCTTTCGGGCGGCTCGGGGGGCCCGGGCCTTGCGGCGGGCCGTGGGCGGCTCTGCCGATTCAGCCATGGGCCGCGTCGTCGGCCGGTGCGGACCGACCCGGCGTCTCCCTCCGAGGCCCCGCCTCCCCTAGCGTAGCGCGAGGCGGGGCCACCAGGGGCGGGGCTGGAGAGCGGCTGCGCGGCCGGGGCAGTGGAAGAGGACGCCGGACAGACCTGAGGCCCGGCCGGTAAGTGAGCGCCCAGGGAGGTCTTGGGCGGCCGCGCTCGCGGCGGACGTTGAGCCGCGGAGATGCGGCGCGGCGGGCAGATTAGGCCCGGCGAGGTGGTGGGGCCCAAACGCCTCGGCGAGCAAGAAGCAGGAGAAATGGCTTCCCTTGGATGCCGCCCTCGCGCGCGCTGGGGTGTTATCCGCCCCGGAGTGCGCTGCGGCGGGGACCCGGCGGACCCGCTCCGCTGCGGCGGGGCTGCGACCGGGCTTTCACGCCGGGAGAAAGGATGGGCCCCGGGAACCGGGCCGGGTTCCCCTGAGGGCCGCCGGCTGAGTTCACTGACGGGGGTAATTATTTTGGGGGCTGCATCTCTTAAGGGAAATGCCCTGGTCACACTTGGGGTGGAGGGCCTCTGAACTTTCACCACCTGTGGGTGAGCTGTGTTGACTTCAATTTTTGTCAAGTGGGACATGAAAATATAAAACACTCCCTGTTGATTAGAACTGATTTAAAGCCCAACTTTTGGAAATGTTTTCAGAAATGAAATACTTGGCTTTTGAAAATGTACATTGTGTGGTTCATATTTGCGGTCCTCTTGGGAGTGCTCTAGAGGATTTTTTTTTCAGGTGTATCTTTCAGGACTACACTAAGCAAAACCATGCTTAAGAAAACCTAAGAGATGCACCAGGCAGCAGAAGGGTTTTTTTGTTTGTTTTAGTGTTCCAATGCAACAGATTTATTGATTTTTTTTAAGCTACAAAAGTATAGCTACAACAACAAAAAACGTTTTCAAATGATCAAAATTTATAAAATTTAAAAAAGCTCTAGCATACCTAAAATTGATTATAAGTGGTTTATAGTGAGAAATGTGAAGGTTTTAGAATTAGAAATTAGGAATTTCTAGTAGTTTTCCCCTGGTTAATTGACATACAATAGACATTTAACATTGTATAAGTTTAAGGTGTACAACATGATAATTTGATATACGTAAATATTGCGAAATAATTACCACAAAGTTAGTTAACACATCTATTATAACAATTTTTGTGTGTGATGAGAAAATTTAATATCTACCTTTTTAGCAGTTTTCAGGTATATAACACAATGTTGTTAACCGTTGTCACCACACTGTACATTAGATTCCCCAGAACTTATAACCAGAAGTTTGTATCCCTTTTAAAATATGTATATAGCCCCTGCTGCTTTGGCTCAGCAGCTGGAGCATCCGCCCCCTGACCAAAGAGTCTCAGGTTTGATTCTGGTCAAGGGCACATACTTCGGTTGAGGTTCCCGTCCCCAGCCCTGGTCGGGTCATGCGGGAGGCAACCAGTCTATGTGTATCTTTCACATCGATGTTTACGCTTTCTCTGCCCACCCCCCCACACTCTATCTGAAGATATGGAAAAAGTGTCCTCGTGTGAGGATTAAAAAAATAAGGAAAAAAACATATATTTTTTTTATTGTTGATATTACAGCTGTCCCCCATTTTCCCTGCTTTGCCCCCTTCCTACCCCACCCCAGGCCTTCACTACACTATTGTCTGTGTTCACAGGCTGTGCATATATGTACTATATAAGTTCTTCGGTGTATCTTTCAGAACTACGCTAAGCAAAACCATGCTTCAGAAAACCTAAAAGATGCAACAGGGGTGTTTTTTTCGTTTTTTATATATTTTTATTTTCTTAGGCTAACATACTCCTAACTTTCAGTAAAACATTTCAGCTTTAAAACTTTTCTCTTTTCTTTTCTTTTTTTATTTTTATCCTCACCCGAGGACATTTTTCCACTTTTTGTTCAGGTAGAGTGGGAGGGAGAGAGAGGAACAGAGAGAGAGAGAGAGAAACATCGATGTGAAGGGACACATCGAGTGGTTGCCACCCGCACAGCCGACCAGGGCCGGGGACAGACTGCAACCTTAGCAGGAACCGAACCCGGGTCTCTCAGGACCGCAGGCCGACGCTCTAACCGCTGAGCCAAACCGGCCAGGGCTAAAACTCTTTTCTTTATTATATTTACTAATAATTCATCAGGATGAAATGTAACATCAATACTTCAATGTAATAGCTCTGGCAGTTAACAGTGTGCTTTATATCATTAGTACATTTCAGCATCAAAACTAGGAAAAATAACGAGGAATGGCTGTGGAAGAACTTCAGTCCATAATAAAGAGATGTGTAAGTAATTGTTTCTTTTTTTCTTTATGAAAAGTTAAATGCCTTTCAAAATATGGGAAGGGCACAGAATATTTTTAATTACACTTTTGAGCACTCAAATTATTTATCTTCTTTAATCATTGCTCCCCCCCCACATTTGAATGATATTTCGTTATTGTTATTTTTTTTCAAATATGTTTTTATTGAATTTTTTTTTTTTTTTTTAGAGAGGAAGGGAGAGAGAGATAGAAACATCAGTGTGAGAGAGCTACATCGAGGCTGCCTCCTGCATGCCCCCTTCTGGGGATGGAGGCTGAAACCTGGGCATATGCCCTGACCGGGAATTGAACCAGGACCTCTCAGTCCATGGGATGACACTCAGTCCACTAAAGCCAGGTGTGTTGTTTTTTTTTATCCTCACCCGAGGACACTTTTCCATTTTTTGTTCAGATAGAGTGGGAGGGGGGGAGGAAGAGAGAGAAAGAGAGAAACATCGACGTGAAAGGGACACATCAAGTGGCTGCCTCCCGCACGACCCAACCAGGGCCGGGACAAACTGCAACCAAAGTACATGCCCTTAGTGGAAACCAAACCCAGATCCTTCTGGATCACAGGCCAATACTTTAACTGCTGAGCCAAACTGGCCAGGGCTGGCCAGGCTATTTTTATTTTTAAAATTTATCTTTATTGTTGAAAGTATTACAGATGTCTCCCCCTTCCCCCCCCCCATTTACCCCCGCCAACCCATGACTATTCTGTATCAATTTGTATTTAACCCCTTCACCTTTTTTCCTATCCCCCCAAACCCCTCCCATCTGGCAACAAGCAAACAGTTATCTGTATCTATGAGTCTGTTTCTGTTCTGCTTATTCATTTTGTTTATAGATTCAGTTGTTGATAGATATGTATTTATTGCCATTTTATTGTTCATAGTTTTGATCTTCTTCAAGAAGACCCTTTAACATGTCATTTAATACTGATTTAGTGGTGAGGAACTCCTTTAACTTTTTCTTGTCTGGGAAACTCTTTATATGCCCATCGATTCTAAATGATGACTTTGTAGGATAGAGTAATCTTGGTTGTAGGTCCTTGCTTTTCATCACTTCGAATATTTCTTACCACTCCCTTCTGGCCTGCAAAGTTTCTTTTGAGAGATCAGCTGACACTCTTATGGGAGCTCTCTTGTAGGTAACTAATTGCTTTTCTCTTGCTACTTTTAAGGGTCTCTTTTACCTTTTGCGTTTTATTTATGTGTCTTGGGGTGGGCCTCATTGGGTTCATCTTGTTTGGGACCCTCTGCACTTCCAGGACTTGTATGTCTGTTTCTTATCACTAAGTTAGGGGAGTTTTCTGTCATTATTTTTTCAAATAGATTTTCACCCTCGCCTCAGGTTTTTCAAATAGGTTTTGAGCCCTGGCCTTCAGTTCTGCTCAGTGGTTAGAGCGTCAGCCTGCGGACCGATGAGTCACAGGTTCCATTCTGGTCAAGGGCATATACCTTGGTTGCATTTTGTCCCAGGCCCTGGTCCGGTCATGTGGGAGGCAGCCATTCGATGTGTCTATCACATTGATGTTTCTGTCTCTCTCGCCCTTTCTCCCTCCTATTCTATCTAATGATAAATAGAAAAATACCCTCGGGTGAGGAATAAAAGAAAACAAAAAACAAATAGGTTTTCAATTTCTCTCTCTCTCTTTTCCTTTCAGCACCTTCATAATGCAAATGTTAGTATGGTTAAAGTTGTCCCAGAGGCTCCTTACACTCTCCTCATTTCTTTTTACTCCCCTGATTGGTTGTTTTTGCTTCCTTACGTTCCAAATTTTTCTTTTATTTCAGTTAGTGCCTTCTTCATTACTGACTGTGCATCCTTCATTTCTGACTGGTTCTTTTTTATGCTTTTGAGGTCCTCACTAAGTTTCTTGGGCATCCTTATAACCAGTATTTTGAACTGTGCATCTAATAGATTACTTATCTTCATTTTATTTAGTTCTTTTTCTGGACTTTTGTTCTGTTCTTTCATTTAGGGCATGTTTCTTTGTCTCCTCATTTTACCTGCCTCCCTATGTTTGTTTCTGTGTATTAGGTAGAACTGCTGTGTCTCCTAGTCTTGTTAAGGTAGCCTAATTTAGTAGGTGTTCTGTAGGGTCCAGTGGCAGAGCCTCCCTGATCACCCCAGCTGTGCACTCGAAGTGCACCCCACCATGTGGACTGTATACCTTTCTGATGTAATTGAATCTTGATTGCTCTTTGCACATCAGTGGAAGGGATTTACTCAGGCTGAAGGACTGACTGTGCCCACCAACCACCAACCTCCGACCACCCTGGAGGATCAGCTCTGCAGGGGCCCACCACCCAGAGCAAGACGTACTTTAGCAGGACTCTGGTACCCACTGAGTCAACCCCTTGAATGTGTCACTTGTGAAGGTGGTTGGGTGGTGGTGCTTCAACATGTCTGAAACTGTCCACTGGGTGTGCTGGCTCTGGGGCCTCTGGGGAGATGCATGCAGGCCAAGGTCAGTTACTACCTACATTCTACCTGGGGCCACCATGCATAAGCTACAGAGCAATCTGCAGATGGCTACTGCTTGTGCTGGGCTTGGAGGTGCCCAGGAGAAACCCAGCTGTGACCCAAGGCCAGCTGCTGCCAGTGCTGGGCCTAGGGCCACTTAGCAAGAGGTATGGGGCTTACTGAGGCCAGATGCTGCTC